GGGCGGGGTGGAGCAAGGCGGGCAGGCGCAGAGCGACTCTTGCGTCGCCTCCAGTTGAAGCTTCTTCAAACGCGCGGCATCCGGCGGCCCGCCGCGGGGCCGCCCCACGGAGCTGTCCCTGCTCCGTGCGCGCGCAGCAAGGTTGCGAGCAACCGCGCGCCCCACGGCCGGCGCGCAGGGAGCGGCCCCCGACGTACACGCGCGCATGCGCATGCGCATGCGCATGCAGCACATGCGCATGCAGGACTTGCGCATGCGGATGCGTATGCAGCATATGCGCATGCAGGATATGCGCATGCACATGCCCTTGCATGCGCCGCGGCGCCCGGGCCACCTGCGCGAGGTCCTGCTGAATGGCGTTGAAGCGCTCCTTGGCCTCCCCCTCCAGCGCCACGCCGCCCAGGACAAAGTCGCGCAGCTCAATCTCAACCACGCGCTGAGGGGTGGCGGGGTCGTGGGGGTGTGGAATTTTGAGGGTTTGGAGGTTGTGGGAGAGGGGCGGCCGTAGGAGGGTTGAGAGGGGGAGGGGCCGTTGCGGGAGGGACTGTGTTGGGGAGGGAGCAGGGTTGTGAGGGGAGCGGGGTGGGAGCGGGGTGGGCTGCGTGTGTGCTGAAAGTTGGTCTTGGGGTGGGAGGCGCGGGCCGCGCGGAGTGGCGAGAGGGTGTTTGGTGGATCGAGGCGCTCGACGTACTCAGCTCGTGTGCCGAAACGCAGGCTCTCTCGGCAGCGGGGCGCGGGCAGAGAAATCAGAGGGGCCAGCCCTTGTGCTCACGCCACCCTGCCGGCTGGGCAGCCGCGGCGCCGCCGCCGGCTGCTGCCACGCCGACCGTCTACCCCGTCGGGTGTGCTGTGTTGCAGCCAAGTCCCCGCGCCCATCGCAGACTTGTTCCGCATGGGGTCTGAACCCCTGCTTTGCGCGACCAGCCGGCCGGGGGTGATGCCGGGTATTGGAGGTCATCACCCCCGGCCCGGTACGCCGCCCGACAGGCGGCGCCCCCATCCCCTGGAACCCCCGCGAAAATCCTGCAGCTCGCCCCTCAGAACGGACCGCCGCCGACGCACGCCCGTAGGGAAGGGGTCGCGCCCACCAACCCCGCCGTGGGGCACTGGCACCCACCTGCTGCGCGGGCGTCAGCTGGCCCCAGCCCTCCCCCTCGCGCAGCGCCCTGAAGCCCTCGTACAGGGGGCGGCTCTGGCTCAGCCGCAGCCCCAGCGCCACGTTCTCGGGCTGCACCTCCTCCACCGCCTTGCGCAGCGCCTCGGTGTCCTGCACGCCCTGCGAGCATGGTGCGTGGGGCAACACGACAAGTCAGCCGCCGGCGGGCTGGGGCGCGTCCAGCTGGCGGCGCCTGGCCGGAAGCTGGGCGAGTCGACTGCATGCGAGCTGCTGCGCGGCAGCTGGCGGCCCCGCGGGTGGACCCCTCGCGCGGCGGGCGGCGCGCCGGCGCCCGCGCACCTTGAGGTGCGACACGACGCCCCACGTGCGCTGGTGGCGGTCGCTGATGCGCTCGAGGGGCTCCACCAGCCCCGCCCACGTCGGCTCCACCGCGGCCTCGAGCGCGTCGATCTGCTTGTGCAGCTCTCCCAGCAGCGCGCGCATGCCAGGGACCACGTGCTCCGGCTTAACCTCGTCAAATTTGGGGAACACGACGTCCTGGGAGGGCGGTGAGGGGCGGTTTGGGTTGGGGTGGGCGGCGGAAGGCGTCCTGTGCCCGGGCGTTCCGTGCGGGACGGGCGGCGAGTGGTCGCATGATCACGCCTCGCGCGGTCACGCCGCGCATGCGCGCACGATCGGCCCATGCGCCGTGCCAGGGGGCCAGACCATCGTTTGCGGTCGCTCACCGCGAGCAAGGGGTTGCTCAGGAACTCGGCCTTGGCGTCCACCTGGGACTCCTTGGCCTCCACCGACGTGGTTTCGGTTGCAGCAGCCATGGCGGTTGTGTTGAAGCGCCTCTGAGAAATGCGCTCCTCAAAAATCACAGAGCGCGCCTGAAGGGCAACTTGGGGTCCCGCGCTGAACGATCTGTGAGCGATGAAGGTCGGCCTAGCGCAAATGAGCGACCTAGAGGAAGAGGAAACATCATGCCTCGACAATTGAGTGCTGCGCAGAACCATTTGAGCAACCCTGGAGACTGCCGTGGTGGGAGGACCGCGAGCTGTGTGCAGCACAGAAGTGGCGAGAAGCAGCAGGTTGAGAATAGCACAGGCGTTGGAAGAGGGGAGCAGCATTTACGTACGAATCATCAGGGGGCAGGCTAAGCAATTGGCGTGACATCAAGCTTGCACGCGCACCAATGCTACCCGTGGTGGTGGTGTGTGCGCGCAACCGCAGGGCAGATGCGCAGCCCCATTATCTAATGGGTGGCCACACAGGCGGTCCACCTGCCCGTATCGTGCGAGCTAGGCAGGCACCCACTGCCGTGGCATGCAGCAAGGCGTAGCATGCATTGACCGTGATTGACCATCACAGGTCCTACACCAGCAGGGCTCAGGGCATGAGGATTCTCTCAACATGACATGCTTGTGCTTCTATGCCATGTGAGATCGGCTTGGCAACCGCGCTGAGCTTGTTTATTGCAGGCTGCCTCACAACTAGAGAATCCTCCGTGGCGGGAATATCACACCGCGTCTCCTCAATCTTCGGGTTACAAAAAGGATTGTTTGAGTTGAAAACTCCAGCGGCAGTCGACGCGGCTGTTCACACGCGCATCATC